GGGGTACGTGTCCCCTTAGACCCCTAGCTACGCCACCGTTTCATATGCATCATGTCAGGTATTTTATATCCTCACCCCCCCCCCCACCTTGAAAATTGTTCCCGGCCCCCTAGGAATTTTCCTTTGACCACCCAAGCCAAAATACAATTTTGGGACACTGAGGGGAACTCCCAGTCCTAACAACGCATACTGACTTCCTTCATTTTTAACTATTAATGACAGTACCTGACCTGTATTGTTCAATGTTCATTCGCTGTTTTGCAGGAGAAAGGTCATCTCATATGTTATAGCGACAAGTGAAATAATTTGCTAAGAAATAGACCGCTTTGAAGATAGTTACAGACGGTTTAACAACCCTCAGCAGCAGCAGCAAACCAAGGTTGAAAACACGTCTAACGTTAGACTTGCTATAGATTCATTTTTTATCTTCGGGCTTCGCCTAACGATTTTATCATAATTTTATTACTATCATAGTATCTCACTTTCCACCAGCATTGCCCTCATGTCCCTATTGGTGGAACCAAACATCCCCTCAAAAATGCCGATATCGCCCATGCCCAAGCGTTCACAATCCACCCTATCGGGTCCCCTAGAACCTTCATTAACAGATATGTACCGGGTCCCGTACATGGAATAACGTACCTTTCAAAACCCCGGCCACCTTGGCCTATACCTGACGATGTCCCGTAAGACCTGCTAGGCAGCACCACTGGAGCTAGATGAGCTGGGAGGGGTCGGAACTCCCTCAGCTGACACAGGAGCTGTGAAGGAATCCTTCAGCGGCCAGAGAAGACTCTGGCAAAGCGGGCCGGCCCCGCCGCGTGTGCCGATCCGTCGCCGTTCAGAGTCTGATGCCAACCACCAAGCCATGGAAGAAGAAAAAAAAACAGATTGTGTCACAACCATTTTTAGCCGAAATCCCGTATCAAAAGGGGGTTATATATACCGGGGCCATTTATCTCACAATGCGTGTGATGACATATCGGCAGGATATGCATATTGCATACCTACCAATATTACTATAATGATTGTCGCTTATGCATGTCTAGGCAAGACTCTATTGACCAACAACAAGAAAGGCACCTCACTCTGGCAAAAAAAAAAACTATTTACAAACGCCACTACCATAAAAAACGAAACACAGTTCACTCGTACCTCAATGCAGAGTGAGAGCCACACAATCATGGGCTACCCTAAAATTGCATCCTAGAAAATGGCATGCCTACCTACTGCAGCCTTTAAACATGGGTGTGAAAACTTCCTCTGGGTAATAGCCTGTAACTTACTATGCTATCGCTAATGCATCCCAAAACCATCTTACATAATTCCCCATCTAATCCATAATATCCTAGTCCGCCGAGACTTATCACACCCAAACTGGGTTCCACTGTATCACCTCTGTACCTCCATGTATCACCCACTAAACCTTTCATTCCAACCTATCAACACCAGATAACAATACCAACTTACCAATGCCATTGCATTGGTTATCCTTAGCATGAACTCCATTTACCCTCAAGTCTCACCCGGTAGTTGGTACCCTTGTTATCAACAATCCCTAACCCACTCAAGGCCGTCCCACTAATGAAAACCCCGCTCGGACACGCTCGGACAGAGCCAACATCACCAGCAGCTCATTCTCCACGGGGTACGCCCACCTGGCACACCTTACGCCAGTAACCGTTCACCTGTATGGGAACCACAGTTCAACCAACACCAGGCACCACAAAACGGCAATTATACCAACTCTCTGCACAACCACCGGCCAACACCACGTGGCCACCAAACCCTACGCCGGCCAGGCCGTGCACTCTGAGCTGCTACACCGAGAAAGCATGAGCTGATTCCACTCACACGGAGTGTAGAATGGCAAAGTCCGGCGCTCCGTTCCAGGGAAGAAACAAAAAACAGTTACAGCTATGTTACACCTAGCAAATACCTACACCCAATCTCCCAAAATCTGAAAAACACACCAAGCCTATTTCTACCAGCAGTCCAAGTTTCGTTGTTTCATCTAACCTTCAAAGAACCTATAATACCGGGCATTTGCCGACCCATTGCTCATCGACCCTCTTCTTACCGTGATAGCATAACATAAACACAAAAAACAGACCTCATGCCGAAAATGAAAAATAAGATAGAAACAACAAACCAGTAAAAAATAAACATAAAAACCCCGAAAGGAAAAAAAAACATGCTCGTCAATCAATATAACATTGATATAAAACCGAACTTATACTCCCCTTGATGTCTTCCAGCTTCCACTGAACACGACCGCAGTAAAACGCAAAAACATTTCAGAGCGAGAACACTGCTGACTTGCGTCAGACCGGGCGGCTTAGAACAGAGTGACCGCGCAAATGCACTCAAACCCCGCGCCGTCACCGTCACGTGACACAAGTCGCTCCACCAATCAGATGAGGCCGCCGCCTTAGCGGCCTTGCCGCCCGGGGGCGCAGGCGGCCGCCCGCCTGCCGCCGAACGCTGCTCGCAGAGGCCGGCCCGGCTCCGGGGCCGCCCCAAAGATGCTCGTTGTGTCGCGGAAAAACCGGTTATATCTTGTCATATATAACCGGGCGTATTTAAGTCCAACCCGCGGTGTAATTTATTCGGTCGGCCCGTCCGCAGACTGACGTGATCTATTCGGCGTATTATTCAGAGGATATTGGCCGAGATCGGCGCCGCGTGCTGACTACTCTGTTTTGTTCGCTACCAATCAGCCGGGACGCTCGACCGCCGCCCCAAAGTGGCGAATCAGCGTCAATTGGCCGGCGCTGCCACAGTGCTGAGCTGGTGCCTTGTGGCAGGCTGCTCCAAGGCTGAACAACTCCCAATGGAGAGAAGCCGGGAAAGGAAGTGCGGCAATCATTTTTTGATGATGATGCCAGAATCAGAATGTGTCAACTCCAGGTTTTAAACGGACACTGGTCATTTACAGCTAAAAAAAATTAACAGCTGATTAAATGTGGAAGTTTTCGAGCTAAAACAAAGCTCGTAAATAGTTAACGCCATCCAATCAACCATTCCCGCTCTAAAGTACCACAATTCGAAAGGCACTAGCGCTGTCATTTTCCTCGTTTTCTCTGGCATCCCCAGCTCACTGTGACCTCATGCCGGCTCCTGCGACCATCTCAGACCGTCGCGGGCGGCGAGCGGCGACCCGGAAACTCATCTGCCAGCATAACAGTCTAATATGAGATAATACGGACCTCAGTGGATAGCAATATGCGGGCATCGTCGCGGCCTCGGCAGTGCACGAGGCATGGCGAAGTGTTATCGTTAGGCGCCGCCTTACGCCAATGCGTTGGTGAGTTGGTCCATTTTCTAACCTACCATGGGCGGTCATTTTGTGGATACTGAAGGCAGTGCGACGTTAGATAGGAATACGCAGCCGAGTTCTTCTCACTTTTTAACACGAGCAGCTTCCGATCGGCCAGCCCGCAGCCGATGTTTGATAAACATTAGGAAACCAATGATGAACGAAAAATCTACGCAACTTTTTCTGTTTCGGAATCGATGCTAAATAGACGGTATTTATTTGGCAAAAGTGGTGCTAAAGCTTCGCGTTTCGTGAAAGCTGCCGAGAGGCTCAGAGCGGCTTATTTATGTAACGAACATGAATAACAGCCCAATGTCTTTTCTGTTGTTATCTGACGCCGCTATAAAACGACGAGCTTTATATATCTGATAGAAAGCAAATGAGGTTACGAGTACTGGTACATACCAGCTACGGGTACATACCAACTGGTTAATATTCGCTTTGGAACTGAAATACAAATAGCTGAGTTGCGAGCTCATGACAAACTCTTGTATATCTCGAGAAGTTTGGCGAGGTCCTGCATAGGGAGGCAGTCCCGCATAACAGACGTGACTGGCGGGTTAGCCTAACTCAGCCTGAGAAAAGAAAGTGCGCAACACCAGCGCCGAACAGTGTGGTGCACACAGCCCACGCAGCTCAAAATTAGCAGCAACTTTTGGGATGTTGTAATTCAAAGGTCAATATTACGTTGTCCTTTGCGCCTTCCTAATTTACTAAGGTGCATCAAAGCAATCACGATTGTAAAACGTAAATGTTTTTTTCTGGGACAGGCACTATTAGCTGTTTTTACGACGGCCATCTGGAACACATTTGGTGCACATTTGGTGTAGATTAGGTGCATATTTGGTCAAATTAGGTTCGTTGTGTCTCTTAGTAGCTATCAGCTAGGGCTGCACTAATTGCTATTTGCTTATATCCCTGCTTTGTCATATTATCAGAGAGTATCATCAATTAAAACACTGAAATGAATTCATAAAAGAAAGATATTTGCTGTAAAAGAGATTAGGTGCAGATTTGGTCAAATTAGGTGCACTCGCCGGATAGCCCGTCGTGAAAACGGCTATTGTGTACATTTTATGGATCAGTGCCATACAGGAAGTGCACGGCAACGTTCACATAATCAATCCACATGAATGTCATAGGTCACCACCATTCCACGGACACAAGTCCTTCCTGGCACCCACAGCACCAATCCACGGACAAAACACCAATCCACTGACACAGCACCAATCCACAGCCACAGCACCAATGCCCTGGTAGCACGGAAGTGCACCGCTTATTTAATGACTGATGACGCTTGGCCCCCTGCGGCGGCGCCTCATCAGCAGAGTACGTCACCGGAGACGTGGTCAGTAATGGCTGACCCCTCCCCTCCCCGCGGGATGCGTCTCTTCCGCACCCCCCCCCCCATCTCGCCCCTAGGTCTAATTATTTGCTCGTCAAAGTGGGAATAGGGACTGCTCGTAGTCACCATCATAGTTAGCACTGTTTCTAGGGCTGCTGACGCCATTTGGGTCACGAAATTGAAGTGCCGCACTTGTGTTAATGCGAGTGCTGGTAAAATATTGACCGACAAGGGCTTCTAGCAAATGACATTACTGTGTTACACGAGCTCGGTGGCCGACCCGCCCCCATCTGACGCGCGCTCCCCTTCTCCATCTGACCTGACCTGTCCCTGCAGAGCTCACGCATCAACTCGATGGACGATGACGGCCTGATCGGGCGCTACATGCTGCCCAACTACTCCCCGAACCGGCCGCGTCAGAACTCACTGATGGTTCCCATCACCAGCCAGCTGACAGCGGCCAGGAAGGTCAAGTCGGCAGTGGACCTGGTGTCACTGGTGATTGCCGAGCAGCGCGAACAGCGGGAGAGCCTCTCCGGAGGCATGTCAGGACTGTCCGGGGCGTGTCAGACCAATGTCTGATGGGTGTCAGATGTCAGACAAATGTCTGGTGAGTGTCAGATGACGGACAAATTGTGATCTTATTGCAAGCTGTTTGACCGGAGAATGCCGTCTGTCAGTTGTCAACCCAAGTCGTGTGTCGGTAACACACACTGCATCAGACGAGAATATCATCGGCGTACGGCAGACCGACGCGTCCCGGACCAGTGTTCGCCACGGGCCCCAAAATCCCCAGCCCAGCCCGGCCCGGGCCCATGGGTTCAGAGCCCGGCCCAGCCCATAGCCCGCTCTTGGCAAATATTCCAAGCCCAGCCCGGCCCGGCCCGTCAAAAATAGCAATCTAGTTATTGTCTTTGTCTATTGCTATAATAAGCATGATTGATTACACTATTTTGAGAACAATTCAAATTGCATGAATATTAACATGGCAATCATGACTCCCTTCTTTTCAATGAATATAATCATTTCAAGCACCTATGGCACAAATTTTAACAGTAACAGCAAGCACCTCAGTCAATTAGGTCATGATTACACACCTATAAAAAGTTTACATGATTATATTAACTACATTCTATGAGTAAAGTTATCTTGCAAGCTGATGTGTGTGAACATTATCATTCATAATTGGTGACTCTAATGCATACTTGAAGGAAGTATTTGCCACATACTCTATACTTCCCAGCACTTACCAGCAGAAAAAAGCTTGACTTATGGGAATTGATGAATCTGTCTGGGATTGACCTTGCTGTTAAATTCACTCCATAGATGCTGCAATATCAAAAGCCTGAGAAAGCATACAAAATAGGTGACACTAACTTTAGCACTGTCTTCCAAAAAAAGAGAAAATCCATCCATTTATCAGCAAAACTGATCTTATCTATTTTCAATTCATGCTCACGTGTCAACCGAATCTCTGTGGACAACTATCTGCTACTTTCCTTGCTATTTTATGTTAGGCTCTTTTCAAGATATGGATATCGCTAGCAGCGTAAGCAGAAAACATGGTAAGCTTGAAATGTCATTGGGTACTTTTGCGACTTTTACGCATCATCATCATCAATCGAAAATGAGCGAACACTTCTTGATTGTCGCAGCTGCGGCAGGTAGCGATTTTGACCAATTGTATAATAAAACATATATGATCAAGTTTTTGTTTTGTTTTTCGTTCAAGTTTTCAGGCTCCGTGATTTAGGTTTTATTTTTTATTTGTTTAATTTTGTTTTTCACCTTGAAACTCACTAAAAAAACGTATTTATTTGATATACTGTTGTGTATACTACCTAGATGCCGCCACATAAACATAGCGCCGCCGCCAGCCGCCGCCCTTGGCCGCCGCCATGATTGCAATTTTTTTTTAGAAGGGGCTGGTTTGTTGTGATTTATTTTGACAAATTTATGGACATTTCAAGAAGCTTTCACCGCGAAATACTCTGTAGAGTTCCTCGTTACTTACAGTGTGTTTTGTGAGTATCCTTTTAAGGTTCTGTTCGTTAAAAAGCCGTCGGTGAAGGAAAAAAGACTGTGTTGGAATTGTCTCACTATCGCCATATATAAGTGTTAAACTTAATGTAGCCCTGTAGCCCATCATTGTTGAGTGGCTTCTTAGTTTTTGGAGTTGTAGTGCTAAGTAAGTTATTCTGATGACTACATTTTAACTTTTATTACAAACTAATGATGCTAGAGATTCTCTGATCTTTTTGGCTGCGGAATTTTTATGAAAACCCTCCTATGTGTGACATGATGTGATATTGGATAATTCTCAAGATTCCCAAAATTCAATATCAAGTAGGTTTTCTTTCACATTGCTTAAATTTGGTTTAGTTTTTGTATTTTCCCAGTGGGTTTTGTTTGCATCAGTTTCCAAATTTTCTTAAATTGACATTAGTCGCAAAACCCATAGTGCACAAAGCTCTTGGCCCGGCCCGTCCATAGCCCGTTAACTAATGATATTTGGGGGCCCGGCCCAGCCCGTAGCCCAGCCCGGCCCATGGCCCGTTGGGCTGGCCCGGCCCGTGGCGAACACTGTCCCGGACCTCATGTCTTCACTCGTTAGTGACAGACCGTCAGACCAGGGTAGGGACGGGCCTGGAGAGTCGAGTTTCTGACTGCTGTCAGACGATAAAGATGTATGGCCATAGCGGGCATTGCTTAGGCCAACTGTCAGAAAGTTGTCACATGAAACGACTGTTATGATATTCCGGTAATCATGGATTTAGACATTGGACCAACCTGTCTTATAACAGATCAGTCACGTTCATCCTATAGACAGCCTGCATTCATCTAATGCAGCCTGCACGATCGACAATGCCGATAGGTATTCAGCTAGCCCAACAGCCAACCCATTCTCCATTCCCTGACACAAACACAGTGGTTAGTTGACTACTGATCAGACAGTCAGATCTGACCAATCAGAAACCGGCCAATAAACTGACTCGTGTCCCCCGGTCGTCGTAAAAAGACGACCCAGAGCGCCATCGTTGATTGGCCGCGAGAAGTGTGACCTGAGTGACGTCACAGGTCATTGGGTGACGACCATTTATCAGAGAGCCGTGGGATCTGTCTCGAATATCAAATATTGGTGTACCGAGACGCTCTATGTTCCAAGCATACTTGCCAAAGTACTGTCAAAAGAGGAAGGATATGAGAGAGTGGCGGTTAAAAGTTACAAGTTTGATTGTAATGTACCGTCAATATGAAATGTGTCGTCCGGTTCAATGTATTTGTGTCGCCGGGTGTGAGGACGTGCTAAAAAAAAAATAGGTAATGTATTTACGTAGAGTGAGTAGAGTGAGTGAGTATTTACGTATATGTACGTACACGTATAATGTAATGCAGATTGCTGCCGTTGTCTGGAAAAGTGGGTGAGTGAGTGAGTGAGTGACTAGTGAGTGAGTGAGTGAGTGAGTGAGTGACTGAGTGAGTGAGTGAGTGGGTGACTGAGTGAGTGAGAAAGAGTAAGGAGAGCGCTGATGTAATACTCCTTTATCATAAGTAGGACAGTAGATCTTGTTAAAATGCCATAGAGAGAGAAATATCTCGAGTAAAGTCAAACTTTTACTAGAAGCACAAGTTTCAATCGTAATATTTGCGCTGTATGTACGAGTAGCGACCAGGATACAGTCACGTAGCCGAGATACCTCCTCATGCATCCGTCTCTCTTATCCCGAGAATATGGCGAGACTCGGGCGCAGCGACCCATTCTGTTCTCCGGGAACTGCGGCGCTGCTGTCCGCCACCGTTGACGCGTTGCTAGGCAACGGTCTTGTTATCAGCGTGGTAGCCTCGCTGTGCGCCGTATATCGCGTCATTCGTCCGTGGTTTGATTGGCTCGCGCGAGGTGTTTCTGATTGGAGGTGTACGTGTTGATATATTGACACGTTATCAGGGCAGGACGTTGGCAGTTCATGTGCTATGTGTCTCCGCAGTGACCATGCCCGCGCGCGCTGCAGTGCGCGTATGAACGTCGTTCGTCGTAACTGTCATGACCGTAGCTGTCATCTACTGAAACATTACTGTGCTCGCTTCATTCACAATGTGCGTGGTAACTAGTGATGTGACCAAACGGCCATATTTTGCACTCGTGGGCGACCGTCAGGCTGAGAGGGATCTCGGATCTGAGGCGCGATCCAGGATCTCAGATATATGGGATCTGGGAGGACTTGGGAAGCCGTGTTTGTGGGCTTGTCACCGATTGCGGTGGCACTCCGTCGTCTTCCCAGCTTCATATGAGATGTCCTGTTCGCAAGGAATGAGCCATCAAATACATACTACAGAGCAGAGGTTTTACATGTCTGGAGCGAAGGAGCATAAATAAATGTGGAGTGTGGACACGTCATATGTGAACAGAAAGTACCATTAGCATTTGCTTATAGCTTAAAAACAGATGGATGAGAGGTCGGGATATTGCGTTGTGCAGAGGATGCCAGTACATAGGTAGGTAATAGGTATTACCAACAATAACAATAGTTATACAATAAATCCTACGTAGATACCCTCCGCACAAACTAACGTAAACACGACAGTCGACACCTAACAGTAAAGAACCTCTCGAATACAAAACAAGCCAATCAGACAAAACAATGTCAGCTGCAACAGCATTATATAATCTCTGCTCCCTACTTAGGCTTTGCCTTTGGACATCAAATGAAGGATTGCGTACGAAACCAAAGCTGCTTTGCTTTAGGCTGATGCTGTTGACATGACGACACTGCTTTGTATGTCTTTGTTGTTTTGTAGGTATGCACGTACACTTGCAAAGGAAAGCTTCAACTAAAAAGGGCAACAGGATAATTTGATGCGAAATAAATGAATTGATGTATCACAGCGTACCACTGCGTGCGGCTTTTCTACCGGACATGTCTTTCTATGCTGTTGGTGATTTCGATGCTCAGGTTTGAAAGAAGAAAAAAGACCTTCTTTTCCAAATCGTCAAATATTTAAGTCCCTTCAGTTCATACTGCCAAACAAAATCAACTCACAACGAAAGCAGAGAACGAACAAACGCAGCCACACGCTAAATTCGCAAATCGCTGGCGCCACAAACAATCGGTGGCCTCGACGCGGCCCGGACAAAATCGTCCGACCGCCTCCGCAATCAGCCTCCGGCGCGGTCCGGCCGGCAGTGGGACAGAATCGGACGGATGGTCCGCTCCTCAGAGAAAGGCGCGGCCCATCGGATGCGCGGGTCGTCGGGATGCGAAGGGAGGGAGAGGGGGAGAGACAGAGGGGATGGGAGGAGCGGGGACGTCCGTCTCTGTAGACGGAGCTGGTAATGGCAGCGGAAACAGCGTCGTTGGCCGCGACGAGACGGTATCTTCAGTCGGGACAGGGGGATTGGCGCAGTGGTGAATGACGGGTCGGCTCGCTCTAATGGCGGTAAATACCTGTGACCCTGCTGTAGACCAGGCCGCTGGGTATTTGTGGACTGGATGGGGTGGGGAGAGTCTGAGCAGAGGCGGCGGAATTAGCGGTCGTAGAGTCCGGTCAGAGCGGGTCGGGCAATAGCTGAATGCCGATGGCAGAAATCAATAGTTGTGCCCAATAGCGGGGACTTGGTGAGATTTACGGGAAACTATATAGCATCGCTAAGTTCAACCTTGAAAAAGGAAATGAGCGGCGACTTTTGCTAGAAGAAAAACTGTTTTGGATAGTTTATAATGAACACAAAAAGTGCGAACCAAGAAAAATAGCCTTCCCTGGGTGAGCGCGAACTGATCTCCACCAACAGTGCTATGCTGATTTAGGTACGGGACGTAACCCTAGGCTGATGACCAGGGCCGAGCCACCAAACACCTTTCCGGACCCCGCTGAGCTGACCAGCCTGAAGGCCCATCCGGTGAAGATTTAACAGCCAAACCGACAGGAGAGACCCATACTCATGAGGAACTCATCAGAGAAGAGTTTTAATCAGCGTCATTTTAGGACGGGTCTTGGCATAAAGTTTGCTAGATTTCGCTAGGATGAGCGGCACTTTTCGAAGTTTTATGCATACCTCACAGAAACCTTGATGTCATTTGAACTTTCCCTAAATTGTCCGAGAGCAACCAGTGTACGATCAGTGCAGCGGTCGGTGAATCGACCAGCTCAATGCTCGCTAATACAGAAAACAAAACCTTCAGGTGATGTAGAATACCACAGGGAGCTATGAGTTTACGCAGAACTAAAGAACCTCAGTTTGTCAACGAGCCACAGAGCTCGAGCGATCCCCCCAGCCAGATAAACAAAGAAAACCCGGTCTCTGTGATGGGATCCCGAAATTAAACGCCCACTGGGGTACCATAGTGGAGCCCAACTCCGGCCGGCTTGTTTATAGCCACCAACAGACGGCGGCCTAGGGACACCATGTA